TGCAGAAGTTCCAGAATGTGACATGCGGTGACTACCGCAGGTCCTTCACTACCTGTATGGAAGCGCTCCCGACATGCCGACGAGGTTGAAGGACAAAATGGCCACCACTCGCCAAACGATCCTATGGCCTACTCAGTAGCTCTTCCAGCATTCGGGTCTCTGCGAAGCTCGCAGCTGGCAAGCGAGCCAGGCGGTCCCGTGCCAAAGTCAGTGCCCTACGGATACGGTGCGAGGTGCCCTGCGTCTACTGAGTACTACGAGTCAGCGTATCGTAGAGATGCAGCAGGAGAGCATGGGCATGGTTACTGTGCCGCCCAAGAGGAGATGGTGCCACCCCCCGTTCGCCGCGGACATTCAGATGATCCTGAAGTCGTCTGGAATAGGCAAACAACTCCAGATCAGTCATCCGCAACGCCTGGACTGCGCGGCTTGCCAATTCGAGAGGCGGACGTTCCAACTGGCGGTCCGGTTGGTGCATGTTTGGCTCAGAGGAAGGAGTTCACGGTGATCGTTTCGAACGTAAGCTTCAACACGGGAAAGCAGTATATGTAACTTGTGGCAGACTGTCGAATGCTAGCTGCGTAGCAGCCCGGTGTAGGATACTGGATGTGTTTGGTGCTTAGCTGAAGAATGCACCAGCTGCTCCTACCGGCACCCAGTTTCTCTGTGGGGCGGAATTTGTGAGTCAGGTTCCAAAGGATCTTCCGGCAGTGGAAATTCAGGAAGCATTCAGCTGTATGGGGACCGTACTACGCACTGATATCATGCTTAACAGCAAGGTAGGCCTATTCCGCTGCCAGAATACTGGTGTTACTCCCAAACGATCACAGTGGAGAGCACGGACCAGAGTAGGGGCGACTATTTTATCCTGCTTAGCAGTGAAACAGCAATGTTGGTTCTGTGGGGCATATTGCAGGGAGAGCACACAGGCCGGGTGTGCATTGCATTTGCTTCTGCTGAAGCAGCGGCGGCAGCAGTGGGTAGGTTGTCCCGTCGCTACTCGCTTCGTCAAATTTCAAATCAGTTGCGATTATCGCTTCAAATGAAAGCCAGCAGGTGGCCATATCGTCTATTGATGACGCCATCAGTGTGCTGTTTGCGCATGCAGCACAATTTGACAAGGGCGATCTTAACGGAAACACAATTAGGGTCTTTGCGGAATGACAACACGGTATGACGCCCGTCCACACGCTGGACCTCGGCGAAGAAACGCGTTCTGAGCTCCTGCTTACTTCCGCTTTTAATTAATCAACTGTTGTTGACTTGCGAAGTCAAGCAAGGCCTTGTTTCAATGAGCGCGAGGGTCCATGCCGACGTTTACTACCCCACAAGGGTGGCTCTATGGCTCCTTCAGACGTAGAAGGGCCAATTCCGCCCCCTGCCCACCCCTTAATCTTAATTCAAGCCAAACAACAAAACGTTGTGTTTTTCTCTAGGTGCTGGCTCCACGTTGACTTGTAAAATATTGTAGTCTAGCGCTCTCCCCCAGTGTTTAGGCGGAGATAACACTGAGTGGCAGAAAGTCGAGGAAAACGAATCCTCGTTTCCCTGATAGCCATATGCCTTCACCGCAACCGAGGGTGTACCCTTGCTTTCATTGTCGATATGCTTCTCCCGTGCTTATAGCATCTTACTAACATGTGCGCACACACTAGAGCTTGGGTCCGATGTGAAGTCGCTTGGGTAAAAAAAGAACAGAGCCCACTGCGCAGTCAAATGAATGCCGTTTGGACGACCTTAATCTAGACGAGCTGCAGGCAAAAAGTCGCAAACGCATGCTGCGCTGAGTCTTTTATTGGCTCTAATACCAATGGAACTTACAACACGCCGCCTTTGCTACCGAAGTACAGCTATTTCTACTGGTTCAGCTTCAAATGCGTTTGACCCTTCACACAATTTGTCAGCCACATGGAATGGCTCAGCAGTGTGGGTTACCCTGTGCAAGATTTTCAACAGAAACCTCTGCACAGGCCAAGCAAGGTCAGACACCGTAACAGCTCGCAGTAAAGGACATACTCTGGGGACCCCCGTCATCTGCTCTCCGCGTTTTTTCTAATCCTTCCGCAGGCCCATTAGGGCGATGCTCCGTATGCTGAGCCATATCCCGCAGAGCTTCTATAACTTCACTTGCTATAGCTGGTGCTTGTTCAGGGGAGGCGAACATCAAACGATCCCTCATGTGCTGAATCTGCAGCTGCTGNGGGTCGCCGCTAGCCGGTTTCTGCAGCTGCTCCACAATAACCTGCACGAACTGCATGTGCACGTTGCTGCTGCGAACAAGCGAATCAAAGCAAGCACGAGCTGCAGCGTCCATACCTCCACTATCCGGTTGGAAAGAGCTTTCTCGAAGGTCTCTGTTTGGGGGCCAGACAGTCTTGAATTTCTCCGCAATCCTCAAGAGTGACCGCTGAACTTCCACGAGCATACAACATTGCATGAACTGCGCCATGAACGCATAGTGGGTCGTTAGCATAAGCATGCTGTTGCTGGGTTTTCCCCCGAGTGCAAGTCGCAACTCTGGTGCCGACGTTGCAGTCTTCCCCGTAGCTGGAAGGCAGAAGCTATCATTAGTGGATGTAACTGGAGGAGCTGTGCTCATAAAAGAAGCGAGTAAGCGCCTCTGTTCATTGATGCTTGTTTCGAGCATGTCAGTTCCTCCAACCGCATTATTATCTTCTTCCGGTTGAAGGGGTGAGCTCTCCTTCTCTCCTACTGCCGAGTGAAACGGCGAACGGCATCCTTCTGCAAAATTTGACGACTCTGCCTCAGGAAGCCACCGAAACGCCTCACTGGTAGGTGTCGACAAACCAGTATGCAAGTGCCTGGTTGGTGAGGCCTCAGAGGCATCTTCAGGTTCTGACGCAGCTCTCTGAACCCTGACTGGAATCTTTCGGGGGCGACCACGGCTGCGCTTATTCGCATCTCTGTCAGCCCGCGCAGCCTGCGGTACCCGCTTCCTTAAAAATGCTGAAGAAGGCAAACCAGCGCCAAGCATCTTGTCCGGTGGAGAATGTACGTCATCTTCTGACTTGCATGCATCCATGCTTGATAGGTGATGTGCATGTTTGCTGGTTCCACGAGGGCTTACGCTTCCTGGTTCATCTTCACTGACACACATTTTCACAGTTACACCAAACCGAAGCTTTCAAAACATCTGGCCAGGCAAGTCGTTTAAAGAGACCGACGAGCCGAGTCAGTGCACGCAGCACACACAGCACAAAAACGCTACAGTCGCTATGCTGAGGGAGCCTAAATCGGTGGGCATGCGCAGCTTGCCTACCGTCCAACATCAAGTTCTTTGCTTGTTAGAGCATCGCATTTCTGTGTAAGAGCCGTGCACTTCAGAAGAAAGTCCCACGCTTCAGCGCCCATGAGATGGGTTACCTTGAACAGTTCCTTCAAAACGCACACAGCGACGCTCTGCCGAAATCGAACATCAGTCTCCAGAGCCAATTTCACACAGATTCCCAGGAAGCAGAAAAATTAAGTCCCCTCGAAATAACATACCTGGACAGTTGCAAATGTAAATAAATCTCTCCTGTACAGGTTGTGTTCTTGCAGAACGCGCTGCCACTTCTCCGGATTGGACCAAAAGACGCCTCGGAGCTTTCGTAACAACAGGCGGCGGCAATCAGCACCAACAGGCCAAGCAAACCCGTACTCCCACGCGTCATGAGAATACTGCTGTGGATTTTTCAAGAGCTCTAAGGCGAAGCTGTTTCCAGCAACCTGCTCAAGAAGCACATATGAGACAGTCTAAGCCCCCAAGTATTTTCAAATTGGTCGTGGCGACATGAAGCCTAAAGATGAGCGCAGATTATACGTTAGCACTCTGACCTTTGTCTTATCCACAGACTTCGCCTCTTCTTCAAATGGGCCGAGCTCTTCCATCTGTTTGTAGGCGAGATCGTATTTTGTGCGTTTCCGGCGGTTACGACCTCCAATGCGGACAACTCCTGCAGGAGATACGCTCTTTGTCATATGCGAACTCGCGGACTCGGGAGATGCTGCGTTGCGTTGATGAGCTTGCCAATGCAGTTCTGCTTCACGTGCGGCATTCGTCCGTAGCATCGCTGCAGCGGCACTTGACTGGGCAGTCGGCGTGTCCGTGCCTGAGGACCTTGCCTCAGGAGCAGCAGGAGCAGAGTATGATACGGTTCTTAGCTCGTTTCCGACGGATGGAGCACCTTCTTGCGACTGTCCATCAGCAGGCACGTGAAAATCGGCAGCTGATGCATCTGCTGTTGCTCGACTTCCCGCAGATGGTGCACGAGGATGCCGTGATACAGCGGATGAGGCATTCCGTTGAAATTTCCTTAAAGTTGCTACCGGATTAGCTCTTTCCGTACCAGGGTCTTGAAGGGCCTCGGTGAGAAGTGGGTTATCGTGGTCATCTGGAAAGCAAATCTGCACGTCTAACGAACTCCTCCCGTTTGTGTTCTGTGCCGATGGGGCCGGAACATGAGACCCACGTGGAACGGATTCTTGTGATCCCCTCTGTCCAGCATCGGAGATTACGTCACGACTACCTTGACACTGTGGGGTCTGCTCACTAGCTTCACTCTGCAATATGTTGGAGCCCGAGCCTGCAGATTCCACACCAGTGGCAGTGGCAACGAAGCTGGAGGACGAAGAAGCATCAATACGTATCTCTGTTTGAAATTCTGACGTCTGCGTCGAATTTGCCTCCTCCGTAAGGTCGTGTTGCATCTTCAACACGAAGTCCACATGCAGGAAGGAACTCGTGGATTGGTAGCCGTCTATGTGGTTTCCACTCAATCCAACCTCACGCCTAGGTCCCTCACAGTGAACTGTGTACGGCCTTCAGACGAAATCCAGGAGAGGTCCAGGAGAGGTAAGCAACGATTCTGTAGGAGAGCTGCAGGGGAGCTGCTCCGGTCCAGGACGTAGTGCAGACGGCGCACGCCAAATTGGGCGATAGGGAAATCACTGTATCCTGCTTGTTCTGAAGGAAAAAGACAACGAGTGCTACGAGATAGCCAAGAAAGGGCCGAAGTACGGGGTAAGCAAGTTCTTGGATAGAGCCTGCGGCAGGCGGACGGCAGTGGCACAGTGCTCCAGATTCAATGTTGCAGCTTTCGGAGGGAAGTTAGTTCGAAGGCAACAGTCAAAAGCACGTCTCCCATAGCTGATCTATTTGCGAATAAGATCCCATGCATACTGCGGCTCCCTTATTGAATGGCATCTGCCCAGCGTTGCCCGGAGCACATGACGGCCACAGCGTTGTCTGCTAAGAGGATGCTTAAGTGGTCAAAATGGGCAACACTGAAGGGGACATTTTATGAAATACGAGCCATATATTGTCAACTACGGCAATGGCAGGGCAGCGAATCGAAGGTTAGCGCTCGAGCTACGAAGCTTCAGAAGACGGCGGCGCGATGGCGCCAGAAGCCAATATTCAAGGACTGACCTGACGTTACAAAGGAGATAAGTAAATAATAATGCTGATAACTTTATAAGGGCGGCCACTCTGCTGGATTGCTGTTGGCTAGTCGCACCCGTTCCCTGTCCGTATGGAAGCTACTACCATGCAGCAGCAGGCGTTGAACCAATTCGGCAAAGCGCATGCCCTTGCACCTGCTTATGCGGCATTGACCATTAGAATATAACAAGATTAAGGCGAAGATTCTGGCTCTTTTGGTCTAGGCAATGCATTCATGAAGTTGTATAGGGTTCCTCTCCCAGTCCCAGCTGCCCAGTTCAGTGGGTTGGCGCTTTGCGCTAACCAGTGGTGAAGCAGCGTTAATTCACTGTCTTTGTTACCCCGCCTGCCCCCAAATCGTTATATCCCCATTCTCTATTGATAGGTGACATTTGTGACTCACGGAACGACCAACACTGCCTCCAACCCCCTAAATATTTTTTTCGCCCATTTACATCCCCCACTGGGTTTTGGCGATGTTACCGACAAAATGCATTGTTGGAGATCTAGTAATCTTTAGAGACCGCCACGATGTGGAACAAACAAGAACCTGTATCGATGGGTGCTAGGTAAGTGTAAAGTGTACATGCCGGCGTCCCTGCCATCCCGAAACGAAGAGACGAAGTCCGGCGTATGCAGTTGTACAGGAAAGGCACGTCTGAGTCACTGTACGACTAACAAGCCTGTGGCTGGTTGCAGTCACTGCTTAACTGAATACACTTCGATGCGTCCAACTTTTGCTTAGCCCGCAGGCGGGCCCTTGCCGTGGAACTACACATCGGTGGGCTCGGATGGAGGTCGTCGCGCCTGTCCCTCGACGCGCAGTTTGCAGCTGTCTTCTCTCCTATTGTAACCTGATTTCCAGCTGCTTTTCCAGATGGTCTATTGTAAACCCAAGAGGAAGAGGTGTTCGACCATTTCAGACCCGTCCTCTCACCTTAGCTGTTTAGGCGAAGTCCAACATAACCTGCCCGATGTCGGCGAACTCGTCCGAGAAAGTTTCGTACCTTACTGTAGTAGCTAGAATAAATTAGTGACAAGTCCAGTAATCTATCTATCAGATCCAGGTGAGGGTGTCGGCCTCGGGGATGCATGCCAAAAACCAAGAAACAAAGGCCAAGTTGCGTGACTTGCTCCATAAGCCACGAGCTTGCCTTGCCTTCTGTGGCAAAAAGCTATATTTACTAACACTCTCAATCTCCACGAAGCAGTCGCGCGTAAAGTAACACGCATCAACTATCTCAAATGTGGCAGCGGCCACGCAGGCCCAACTGACACAAATGCTAGGCCTGAACACCCGCAGACTCTTCGCTGCCAAGGAATACAGCGGGGGCTACACCTTTCTGGTCAGGTGAGTTGCAGTTTCTGCTAGTGATTGGAAAACTCCCCAAGGACACAGGTGACCTTTCATCCTGTGTGCATGTGACGGTTGCGCCGGTTTAGCCGTAGATAAACAGTAGAGCATTGATCACACGAGTGGAGGTAGGAAGGAACCGTGGAAACCAAATATATAGAAAGATGTGAGCAACTCTTCCCCCACGGCAGACAAACAATAGCTTAGCAATGGAAAGACTCCCAACTATACTCTGCTTTGGAAATGCCCACGGTTGCATCGGTTACTGCTGAATCGAGGACGGCCTGCATATATTTCTCGTTTATTGCTATGCACAGACTAATGCATTATATCCACCGGTCTCCTGGCCATTTTACATAGTATTCCCCTTTTCCTTGGCCTCCGAGAGTCGTTCTAGTTGCTCTCAGGATCTCCGTCTCCTCCAGTTGCTCCTTATTGCGATGTCGCCGTCGCGTTCTAGTGGGGTGGGCGGAAGGAAATTTCTGTGACTCTCCAGACCGTTTTAGTAAACCGAGATTAGTGGTATGTTGGTAGTAAGTCGACGGCGAATGCCAGCGCCTTAATCCGAGAGCGAACAGAGACTGCGCTGAGATGTGCAAAATGCATCAGACAAATCAAATGAGAAATAGAGTACCGAGGGCTGCAGGCGGTCAAGTAGTTCGTTGCTCTGGGGCAATGGAAACTCCTTTTTCACCTTGATTTTGTTGATTGGCTTGAACTCTACCCGCGTGTGCTACTTTCTATCCTCTTTCCTCACCAGCACCGGTTTTTCCCAAACGCGCTAGTTTATGTTGAACCTGCTCTTTTCTTAGCAGTTCATTTGTTTGCCACTCAATTCCACCTTCAAGATATGGATATAGCTATTACAAACTTTAGACCTGCTCAGGGAATAAGCTCGATGCGGTGCATTGAGCGCGGAGCGGGTGGCCTGCTTGGTAGCTCTTCGTTATATAGTACATTTGAGAGATCGGTTGTCCACACTTTCGCTGTTCGCCGGGCATTAACTGGGAGGAATCCTTCAAAACTGCAGTCTTCATAAGACCGTCACGACGGAACGCACGTAGTGCTCCATCGTTGCCCGCAGTGCCTCTGCAGTGCGTACAAGCATGCTAGCTCCTTTCTTCTTAAAAACATGCTTCCATTAGCCTTAGTGTTGCGCATGCAAATGCGTTGGGAGGGACAAGAGGTTTACTCTCATTGTTTCCCGGCGCATACGCCACGACATTGTCGAACCTGCGCCCTTCACTGGGTTCACACACGACATCCCGCGGATTATGTCCTGGTGAACTGGTTCGACGTAAAAGTCCCGTATCATGGTAATGCGACCTAGTGCTGAATCGAGTTATCATTTTTCGTCCATGGGCTTGCCCGTTCTCGTTTCTGCCTGCCATCCGCAAAGTGCAGTCGCAGAGACTGCGACAACGAAAAGACAGACAAGCTGCACCCCCCCACCATAGTTCCATGCATCGGATCCACTTTCTAGCCCATGCCATGTACTTCTGGCAGCTCTTTACGACTAATACTAACTTTGCTAGAGCAGACTTCATCGGGAGTGCTGTTGGCACCTCTGTCAACCCCAGCAAGCCGCCGAACTTTACGTGGGGAACTTGGCGTTTCCCTGCTTGTTTTCTTATTTTCTCAGGCGGCACTGCTGGAGATGTAGCCTTGTAATTCTTCCGGTCTTTTCATGCGTCTACAATCTCTTATCGTGTGATGCTGCTTATTGCAAACGAAGCATATGCACCGCTCGGCATCCGCTCCCTGATTTCAGGATGCCACATTCGGTAGTTACTGTCGGATGGTGTTTGCTACCATGTTCTAAGCCGAGATTTCCTTCGCAGCCCGAATATTAATGGGATCCATAACTGGGTATTTCCAAAAGACTTTTCCTTCTGAGCGAGGGGCCGACCAACGACGTCCTGCGCAACCTCCACATCGAGGGGCCCGTAATACCTGGATGGTCGACAGAGGCAATCTTCATGGATGTTTTTGTGGTGATTCTCCGCCGTTTAGAGTGGATAAACAACTCCTTTTTCTACGCGAAAAGTTTCCCATATGTCCCTCACTGTAGCATGTAAGCAAATACAGACGCTCTATAAGTACATTCATAGGTAAAGCGTGAAGCAAAGGAAGCTTCTTTGGAGCTTCTCTATTTGCACGCGTGAGGCTGGCTTGTATTACCGTCCGCAGCGAGGTGCGCGGCAAGCCCACTTCAGGCAGCATCCTCCCAGCAACAACCTGAGCTCAACGCCCATAAGGCCTGAGGAAAGGGGGGAGGTCAGCTGCTTTTGCTAAACTCCTGCTTTAAGTCCTTCCCCACATGGCAGCTCGTTTCTGTCCATAATTAAGGCCACAGAGCAAGAGCGCTATAGTCACCTCCGCACCGGAGGGCATATCTCCGTCGACTATACAGGCGGAAGGAGGTTAAGTTTGTGACGAAGATTTTAGAATAATATTAAGGGGTTTTCTCCAAACTTTTTCCCACTAATAACCTTTATGCTCCAAGCAACCCCGTCGCGGCGACGGGTTCCGTCGCCAGTGGCGGACAAAGGGGCGCAGTCAACTGTAGCAAGGGCCCTCCAGCTTATTCGACGACTCTCTAGAGTTACACTAAAGAAAAAACACTTAAAATACGAGTTTCCAAAAGCATCTGACACCCTGAGCCCCGCGGTCCACGGGCCTGGGNTGACAAACTGGTGCCTAACACGACGTGCAGCGAACTTTGCTGCCACTACTACTGCAAGGCAACTCACATGCAAACACAACTGATGCCCCCTTTTGTGCACGGCTAAACACTCTATAGAAGCCTTTGCACTCACTGGTGGATGCATTGCCAGCCTGCACCCACCATATAAACACGCACCAACTCCACTTACACCACGCTACAGTCGGAGTTACCACGCTACACTACCGAAGCCCCCCTTCGATGCACGAACTAACACTGTGAAAAAACGATAGACAATTACATGACCCCCCGCATGGACCCAACTACAAGCAAGCGTCGCAAATCCTCCCACACCATGCTGCTTGTGGGGCGAAGTGGGCAATCGGGGGTGGGCTGGCTTGATGCGGCAGAGAGCATTTGGAACTTTTGCTAGCGAAAATGGCACCATAGAAAACAGCGTCAAGAAAAAAATAAAAGCAAAGTTAGCAAATGAAAGTAAACCGAAGAGAGTCAGCTGGACACGTTGGTGTACCTGTATATGCTAGATTGGCAATCGAAGCCATATTTCGGCCGTAGCAAAAGCGGAAGACTGAGCAAACCACCGGCACAGACCAAAAACAGTCAATTCGTTTTCTGACTGACAACTTTGTTCACTATGTGTACAATCTACGAGTTTGCTTTCGAGATTATTGTGGGGAAGAGTGCTTGGTGTATAGCAGCACTAGAATCACCGATGGTGCACGGTTGCAGCTGCCGTTGCTGGGCACCCCTGCATCGAGTGCGGGAGCCCGTCGCTGTTCCGAACTGTCTATTCGTGCAGGATCGGCAGGATCATTGCAACTTTTAATGTTTAAGCATCGATTTTTCCTTCAGGGACAACTTTCTTTCTAATCGCTCCATTGGGCACGATGGCAGCTGAAAGTGGGGTTGCCGGCAATCGCCCCACCGATGCCTCCCCAAAGAAGGGTGAGGAGATGACGCGTCGAGAGCATTGGGTTGCCTCAATCGGTTGCGCCCTCTCTGGAATGATGACTTTAATTCCATTCCAGTTTGTTGCTGTTATGTTGCCCGTTTTGTCAAACCACTTTCTGGATGGGAAGCAGCTCGGGAACTCCATGCTGGGTATGTACCAGCTGGTCTGCGTCATAGCTCTCCTTGTTATCCTCAAAATAGGAGCTCTTCACGGCTGGCTCATTCAGGGTGGTCTTGTGTTATCTCTTGTATGCATGGCGGCGTTCTCTCCGGCGTTCTTCTATGGACCTATCGCCTGCCGCATAGTGCTAGTTCATATTATCCTCGGTCTTCTAGGTGCGTGCAACGCGGCTCTGCAGGCTGCTGGATTTGCGAGGGCTGCAATTCTTCCAAGGAACTATGTAGGCACGACTTCTATAGGCCAAGCAACTGCGGGATTGGTGGCCTTCGTCGTCACTGCCATCCTTATGAACGGCGTGTTCGACATGGACAGCGAAAGCGACGTCAAGTGGTTCAGCAGCATTTGCTGCGGCATTTCTGTGGTTATGTGCATCGGTTCAATCCTGTACATGTATATGTTCCTAAATGCAAAAGTCTGTGTTCAATCTGTAAGCAATGCGTTGAGCGGCGGTTCTGATGGAAAAGCTCAGCAGGATGATACACCCACAATCGTAGCCGATCTTGAGGAGCCAAAGAGACGCCAAAATAGTGCATCAAACGGCGCTCTGGATGAGTCGCTGTTGCCCCCTCGACCATGGCTAACGATGATGCGGGGCTCTTTCTGGGAACTCCTCAGCCTGTTTCTTGTTTTCTTCATCACATTCTCCCTCTTCCCGAAGGTCGGCCCCGTTTCCTTCAATTTTGAGGGAAAAGGCCCATCCAAGATGGTGCTGCTCTTTGGCATGGAGTTTATTGGAGATTTCCTGGGTCGATCGTGTCTGCAACTGCCGAATTTGCATCCGATGTTCGGCTTCCTGTTCCTCTCCCGCAACGCTACGGTTGCCGCGTCTTTTCTTCGTTTCTTGTTTTATGTCCCGTTCTTCCTGGCAATGAAGATGGAAGACACTCCTTTTGTCAACAACTTTGCGTGGCTCATGATTATTCAGCTTCTGCTTGCCTTCACTCTTGGTTGGGTCGGCACCTTAACCCTCATCCACTGCTCCATGTCTGTTACTCGCTTGTCCGAGAAAGCGCGCATGGGGTCGCTCGCTACCATAGTGCTTGCCATTGCTATAGGCGTGGGTCTATACATTGCCCTGGCTTTTTAAAGCCACTTTTTATAGGTGCATACGAGCAGTTTGCTTCGGGTGAGCATTCGTGTGTAGTCGTTGCATTGTCAGTTTATCTGTTGGCACAGCAACGCTTGTTCAAACTCAAGGGTCTGCCCTCTTACTATGTTTGATACGTCAGTATTTGTTGAGATTTAGGCATTTGTGCATGAAAATGCGTGGTATGTGCGTTGCCTTGGAGTGGTGAACAGTTACACCCATTCATTCGAGTTCGCACAGGAGGGCCACCAAGTGTATAAACGATGGTGAAGTGGCGGCATACGCTATGCTGCTGTACAGCTTCCGCGAAGAATAGCGGACTCGCACCATTTTGAGTAAAGTTTTTTGGCGCTTTTTTGCGCGCATCTCCTTTCCCTTTTAAAACGATCGATGCAAATTCAGTTCTTGCAGGTGCGTACCTATTCCTTCCATGCGTAGTTTGTACAATATACTAGTACTAGTATGGATGCCATTCAGTTCGAGTGTGGACCTGGCGGCAGTTCTCTAGTCNAGCTATATGTTGCACCAGTTTCCTGTGGCACAGCCCAATATCAGCAGGCCGGCATAGTTTCTAACGCCAAATAGCGCTATGCGTACACTGTTCCGTTACGAGAGGATGCAGTTCCTCGTTCCTGGCCACGTGTGGTTTAGGTGACTGATGTTTAGTTTTGCCTAGAAGTTGGGCTGCACGCCACTAACAGCACTGCAGTTTCAGTATCGACGGTCGCCAAAGCCCCAAAATGCCTAAAAAATAAACGGAAAGAAATAAGTCCCATTCAACAACGAAACCGTTCGGCACAGCTCCTCCTCCGAAAAAACTCGTTTTCAAAAACGCTTCGCGAAACTTCGAAGTGGCAGCAGCTTTTGCTGCAGCCGAAGGAATGGCAACGGCCCCAGTTGGTGGTAGCATGGAAAAGAGCAGGCAAGTGACAAGAAAGCATAGGCATTCGCCTATATATTCTACACTTCTTGGCCTCCAGCCACCGCGACGTACCCCTTAACAGCAACTGCTGCTAATAATGCCTGCGGTGCAAACTCCTGCACCAGCACCGATGGCGTCGGCGGTAGCGCCAGTATCCACTGCAAGTGGTCTTCCAGCCCTGCATGCTGCTCCAAATTCAGAGCGCTCAGGCCCTACCTTACGGCGGAGTGTCTGCCCCTCTCGCTTCTCCCCCTGGTGTAGCGCCAGGACTAGTCTTTTGACCCGTGTCGGTCAGCCCTCCATAGCCCGAGTTTTGTGTCTCTTTGATGCCCTCTGATCTGTCTGGCTGGGAGGTTCGTTGCTGCCCTTCAGCTGTGGTCTCCTCACCCTCCTGATGTGCCTGCTGCTGTTGCAGCAGCAGCTGCAGCAAACAAAGACAGAAACGGTAACACCACTGACAATGGCTAAACGGGTCTCAACACAGGAAAAGGAAGGCGGTTGGAAGGAACGACGGAAGACGCAGGGGCAGGGGAACACATAATTCTATTTGTCACCTGCTGCACCGCAAGCAAATGATCGAGCTGAGACTTTGCGTGTCTTCCCGAGGCAGAGGACTTTTTCCGCTCCCTTTTGCTTGTGGCTGTCTGCAATCAACAAACAAATATACCGACCCAGAAACCCCATGATGTTCCCCTGGCATAACTATGACGTGCCCTGGCCCCGACGCAGTAGCAGCAATACCCGCAATAGTACAGCAGGCAAGCGCAGAACAGCGCATCTTCAAAAGGCTCACCCGCCATTCCGCTGCATCCTGCAGAGCCGCGACTTGCTGCTTGGCCACAAGCAGGGCCTTTGCCTTGTCAGCCGCGCTGAGAAGTGCTATATCCTCCAGCTTGAGGGAGAGCAAATCGCCCGTTAGAGATGGAGTCTCCCGTTGCTTTACCGGGACGCCCCTCTCCGGAGGAGGGGACGTGGAGAGTCCCCTCGATGGATGAGAACGCCCGTCAAGCGGGGGTCCCTCACCCGAGAGGTCTCCCGAGGAAGGAGGCCCCGGTCTCCACAGGCCTGTGGAGTCTCCCGCCCAGGAGTGGCCTCTTGAAGGCGGTGTAGAAGACCCATCCCATTGCTGCTGCTGGTGCTGGTGCTCTGACGGCCTAGAAGTCCCATCTGCGTCTTCTGTGCCCGTGCGCGATCCCCAAGAAGCCGTGCGGGGGCCCCCCGAGGGACCCCCAATGGCCCACTTAGGGGCTGCTGCTTTGCTGTGAGGGTCTTGAGAGGGCCCCCCCGCTGTGGAGCGTGTACCCCACTGAGGTGTCGACTTTCTGAGCTCCGCAGATCCCCTAGAAGGCAAGCGGTCATCAGGATGCTGTGAACTATCCTCTGCAGGTGCTCCTTCTGGTGCTGCTCTTGTTGCTGGTGCCGGAGATGTCCCTCCAGCGTCTTCCGCAGAACCCCCTTTGCGGGCATGCCCTTCAGAGGAGGCCTTCTGGGAAAGAACCTCTCTCTCTAGAGACGGCGAAGATGGCCGTGCTGCAGCCGAGGCAGGGCGGGGGACTCCCGAAGCAGCAACTGGAGAGGTTGCTGTTGCTGTACCTGATGCTGCAGGTGGGGAAGCGGGGGTGCCCCGGGCTCGAACGCCCCCGCTAGAGGCCGATGCAGGGGCCCCTACTACCGCAGCCCAATTACGCCTATGCGTAGGCCCTCGAGGGCCTTCTGACTGAGCCTCTACGCCCGCAATAGCCCCACTCGGAGTGGCGGGAGGAGGAGGAGGAGGCGGCGGGGGTTGTTGAGGTGGCTCTGGGATGTTCCATGCAGGACCCCCTGGAGTCCCCCCTTGTCTATGGCCTGCATCGCGGTAGCGAGCAACTCTACTCGGGGCAGCTGAAGGCGTCGCCACATGCAGTCCCAAACCCTGCAAAACCGCATTGGGGGTCCCTCCTCTTGTGTTCCTTAATGGGAGACAAATCCCCCCACGAGGGTGGGTTGCTCCCTGCTGCAGCTGATGCTGGCGCGACCAGCTGCTGGGAGTGGGTGGAGTCCCTGATACACCGCCTTCGGCCCCCCACTGCGGAGTTTGACCATCAGATGGCTGCTGGGGGGTCCTATGTGAAGCCACCATGCCTGTAGCTTGCGCGCTCCTGCTGCTGTTGCGGTTGCTGCTGGCGGCTCCACTGAAGGTCCAGTCACCAGAGCGTCCACGGATGAGCCTGGAAGGGCCGCTCTCCCCCACATCTTCCGACAAATCACTAACAACGGATGCCCGTACTTCCCCTCTCTCAACGCCGTCTCCTCCGTGGTACCGCTGCTGTTGCTCCTGCTGCTTCCCGGCAGGTGTAGGAGGACTTGTGGGCCCCTGCTGCCCTGTCAGTGCTGCAGCGTAGGAGCCCCCCGATGCTGGCATATCTTGTTGCTGATGCACTAGCTGCTGCTGTCCAAATTTTGAAGCAGCCGCTCCGTCACACCGTTCCCGAGGGCCCCTGGGGTCGGCGACGCTGCCTTTGCTACTGCTTTTGCTGCTGTTGCTGCTGCTTCGTCGTTCCTCATTGAAAGCTACAGCGTGCCTTGTCGCAGTCTGGTCACCACTGGGTCCTCCCAATGGAACGTAGTGGCTCCATCCAAAAGACCTCCTCGGCAACCCTCCAGCTTCTTTGGGTTCGATAGGACGGGGCAGCCCAACACCTGAATTTGCAGCGTATCCGCGGGTTTGCTGCGGTGGCTGCCCCCTCGCTGCAACCATGGGCGAAAATGCTGCGATATGGCGGCCCTGCTGATAACCAGAGGCGCCCCCAGGACCCAACGGGTACCCCTGGCGTGGCATCCCTCCGTGCATGCGTCTCCTCCCGATTCCTCCGGCAGGCGACCCCTCTCCAGCCGTTGCACCAGCGGCAGAAGGCGAGTTGCCATCTTCCCCACGCCACTGAGAAATGCCGCTTGGCCCCATGGGGACTCCCGCTGCAGCCGATGACGGTCCCTCCAAGGAAGCCCCAAGCAAGGTCGCCTGGGTTGAGAATGGCCGCGTCGACTGCCAGTAAGGGTCTCGACTAGGGGGCAGCGCATGCATGGGGTGATGCTGCTGCAGATGCTGCAACATCAGGTGGTGGTGCTGCTGGTGCTGTAGGGAGCTTCTCCCTCCGCCAGCCCTATGGCGCATGAGAGAAAACGGATGGGATCTCCTAAGGCGGTCATTGTAAGATCCCCGGGAACCTCGTGGGGCCCCCTCTCCCCCCATCCTATGCCCTCCTCCCCGAGTATCCCACGAGGTGCGCCCAAGGCTGCATGCACTTCGAGGTGACCCTATGGACGGTGGACCCCCAGCGGCTCTGACATCATGTGCGTAGCTGCCCGCGCTGCTATTTCGTCTACATCCCCTTGTGCAATATGGAAGGAGTACTTGAATTGTAATGGCTGCTTCCGCTGCTGCTGCGGCCTCGATAGGGAGGACTGTTGCCTCAGGAACTCCCGATGTATGCGCTGTCTGGACCCCTACCCAAGCTTCCTCCGCACCCCCAACCGAAGCTTCGCTGCTATTTGATGGAGGAGCAGCATTTTCCTCCGTTCCTGCTGCTTGGGTAGCATTCGGATGGCTACATATGCAAAGACGAGAGCCAGAGGCATTCAGAGATACACATGCGTGGTGGATCCCCCCTTTCCTCGCCGCTCCGGGAGAGGCCCCGGTGTTGTTCCCTTCCCCTGGTGTCTTGCATAAAAGCTGACAAAGAGACAAAAGACCCCTCAATTCCTCATCAGCAAGCTGCAGATTAATTTTGTGCCCTGACTCATCTTGGTGTTGATTGTGGTGCTGCCGTTCCTGTTGCTGCTCCTCCTGTTGTCGGGAAAGTGAATGATTAGCCGTTGGGCGGGGGCAAAGCGCAGACCCCTCAAATCCCGGAGATCTGGCAAGCCCCTCCTGCGTGGGCCCTTCAGGGCGCTCACCATCATCGGTACCCTCAGCTATACTATCTTGCGACTCTGCGGAGCCGGATGCCCCTTGAGGACCTTGTGAAGAGATTTGCGGATGCCCAGACTGTTGCGACGGACTTTGCTGATCACACGCTTCAACCAGGCCCCCCGTTTTAGAATGAAGGCATTTTAGGAATTCCGCATACGGGTCTCTAGTGGGGCAGGGTACCCTGTCATCTTCGAGGGCCGCCCGAGGATACTGTGAA